TTCTTTTGATTACCAGATTGTATCCCCATCTCCTCTTCTCTGTGAGCTGTTTTTCTCGGCCTTCTGACAGTTGGTGGTGGGAGTCCGCCCCCTTCCACACGTTTACTCGGTGTAGTTGGCTCACTTGGCTGGTGGTCGTTGGAAAGAGTGGCAGATGTGCTCGGATCGATCGCAAGTTGGTTGGAAGCGGTTGCAAGTAAATCAGAGAATGACAGCTCAGCATATTCTGGAAAATTGTATAGTTTTCCTCGACTAGTTAGATAGTGAACCAAGTTTACGTAAGTAGAAATACCTTGCGATTGAATACGTGCACGAAGTTGATCAGATAAAATTGGCGTTTCAGGTGTGACTGGAACGCGTGGATTTCCATCCGCGGGTTGCGCCGCTGTGACAGCTTGTTGATATATTGCTAAAGTATTTAGCAAAAATTCTGCTTGATCCAACTCGTGATCTACTTCTTGTTTTATTTCCATCTCCTCAATTTTCACAATTGAAGGTGTCTGCGCGTTACGAGTTACTTGAACATTTGCATTTTTAGTATTCAGAATTGTCTCGTTTTGATTTACAGTAATAGTGTAAGCCTGAGTGACTGCTGGCATATGATGCCGCAACGCAGAGAGAGGATGAGTACGTGCTGCTGACCCAAAGCCAGGTGGATGTATTCCTATATTTTGTGGAAGTTGGTTTGCTTGTTGTTGTTGAAAACGAGTTTGGTTCAGAATTTCAGCTGGAATCTCTAGCGTGTGATCTGTTGGAGCATCCGTTTGACCAACGTGAGCTTGCTGGAAAATATCGTTGTTTCAGTCAATTCTGAATTCAATATGTCGGCAACAACAGAAATCAATAAAAGGTTTTTGGGTTCCCTTTTCGACTCACCTCCTCATTCTCTAAGGCCCGATGAGAAGTCTTTCGTGGCCCACGTCTGCTGACATTGTTTCCTGTCCATGGGGGAGCGGTCTCTTTTCGACCGATAGGGATTGCATTAAGACGAGGGTCCGTCGGTTCATTATGACGTCTTGAAGCATTTGTCGGTGGCGTAGATTGCAAGTTTTGCGTTCTTACACGAGCCATTTTATTGATGATCGTGTCACCAAGTCCTGACGATGACCCTATTGATTGATTGTTTTGAACTGAAAATTGAAAAGAAACGTCTATATTTGTTACGTTCCCGCTACCAGTGTGATTCCAAACAAATGTTACCTTTTCGATCAAGCTGGTGTTGTAGTTGCTGCAGTGGAGTTTGCTGGTTCGGCTGATTTTGCTGCCTCTGTTGCTGTTGATGAAGCTGCTGCTGGTGCTCCTGTTGAAGTTGTTGGTCCCGATAATTTTTTTGCTGCAGATGGTGATGGCGATGTTGTTCCAGCTGCTGCAGCTGCTGTTGTTGGTGAATCTGTTGAAGTTGCTGAATATGTTGCTGATGCTGCAGCTGGTTCTGATGATGATCATGACGTTGTCCTCCGTTTTCCCGTACAAGTCCGGGAGGCACTCTTGGATTCTCTAAACCTAAAGTATTACATTTAACCAGCCTGATCAAATTTGACCCGCCGGATTATCCGATCTCACAAAAGTATTAAAATTTCGATATTTTTTGAAAATTTATTTCCATCTCCTCAACTTTCACAAGCGACTAAACTATTTTTTTGATTTACCTGCTAAGTGGCCAGCCACTGCTGCCATTTGGGCTTGTTGCATTTGAGCTTGTGTAGGCCACTGATTCTGATAAACTGGGTTCACAAAGTTCATCGTGTTGGCACTTGGAGGGACATTACGTCCGTCTGGTGGATCTTTCTTCTTAGCTGGCATTTGAAAAAGTGAAAAACTGGTTTGAAGTGATCAGAACAATAGAGTTAGAATCCTGTAATTGATAAGAGAATTGAGTAGAAATTCTGAGAAAAATTTGACGTATTAATGAATGGTAATTAAAAAAAGATGCAACAAGCGGCAAAAAATTTTTGTTGTCAAGCTCTTTCAAACAGACAGAGTTCCTTAGTCATTTTACGAACAACCTTTTATTTCCTCCTCAATTATTTTTTTTCGTTTTTTTCTGATCTTAACTAGAAAATTTCGCTTACGTTTGCGTATGGAAGAACTGCTGTTTGAGCCGAGGTTTTCAAAAACTCGGCCATCCTAAAAAATGCTTTGATGTAGAGATAATTTGAGGAATTAGTGATGAATCATGTGAAACTCTCCGAGCAAGATACAAAACCTTCGATTATTAAAATTGACTAAAAAATCCATGAACACAACGTGTAGCGAGAAAGGGAAACGGTTGTAAAATACATGTGTCGTGATGCTTTACTAATACAGTTATACGATCTTTCATTTAATCGAAAGTAATTTCCATTATTTTTTTTGCCGGTTAGAAAAAAAGGGAAGAAAAGGGAGACGAGACGAAGAAGAAAACCGAATTCAAAGCGAAGAGCGGAGAAGAAGAGGGCGCACATAAAACCATCTCGTCCCCTGCGACTCCTCTAAACTCCTGTTATTCGTTCTCTTTTCTGTCGTCTCTCCTGCCTACGTATTGTATATTTCTTCTCTACCTTCACCGTCTCTCGCGCCGCATTGATATTGATCCATCTTTTTGCCACAGCAACAGTGAAGAGCGCGCACCTGAATAGAGGTTGTGGCAGTCACTGCCGGTCAGAGCGCTCAGAGAGGCAGCCTAAATGAGAGACGCAGGGTAGTCGTGTTGAAAAGGACGCATGCGCCTTTTCGAGGCGAATTTAGAAAGGAGAGAACCGACGAAAACGACGACGACAGAAACAGAGAGGACCGTCAAAAAATAGCGAGAGATGGGAAGGAAGAGGAGGGTTGGGTATGTAAGAGTGTAGAAGGCTTGTCCGATAAGAAGAAAAATGACTGCTTGAAGAAATGTATGAAGACGACAAACGCAATACGAGGAGGAGGAAGATTGACAAAAGAAATTTTGAATTTGCCTGCTGCACGAACTTTACAGTAAGAGCGAAATATTACACACGTAAGACGCAGCCAACTAAAAATTAGAATTGAAAATAGTCCTGAAAAATGTCCTCGTGTCTTTTATTCTATTATCGGAAACTTATCGGGGGTGCAATAATTTTGTTTCAAATGTATCATGCAAGCTTATTAGCAGTTTGAAAAAAAAAATAATAGATGGTGAATATAAGGAATTAAAAGAGAGAAGGCCTACATATCCAATTTGTGAATCTGGCAAGTCAGAAAGTGATGGAGAATAATTTTTGAGAATTTTTAGAGAGAAACATTGAATTTTTCATCTATACTTGAAAAGCAATTATCGAGTGGGAGAATGAGTGATTAATGACAGCAGAAACAAATTTAGTCACCTGTAATGTGCCTTGATTATAGTTTTTATCGACTTAATAATACACTAGCGAATGAGAGAAGGCACTCACGGAGATGAAAAAACAGAAAATATGCATATTTTGCCAACTATTAAGAGATGAAATGTATTAGTGACATAAAAGTTAGCTCATAAACGCAAAAATATGGCAAGGAATGATGCCACGCACAACAAAACTTTCACCTTAATATGTGTTTTTAGGTTTAGACTTTTCCTTACGATTTAATAATTTTTCGCCAATAAATTCCATAAGCCTGCATCAAAATGGACAAAATGAGACTGCAAAAATTAAGAAACAAGGTTTTGATTAACTTGTAAAACACATCAAAAGAGGGGAGAGAAGAGCTTTTCGGATCTTTATTTTGGACGAGACGGAGAGTGTTCACACAGCTTTTGACTATCGTGCAGCTTTCATATACGATATCGACCGGCGTTTCAGCTTGCGCTACCGTAGCACCACGGTGGGCTCACAAAGGGACTTCATTCAAACAGGAATTTGGCACAATTCATTTTTGTCTTTTAAACAATGATTGATGGTAAGAATGAGAGCCTCATCAATAAAATAACGGAATTTTTGTCAACTAACTGCATAACACTCTTTTTCTAGTCACCCAAATCTTTTGTTCGTAAATTTCGAGAATCTCCATGTCTCCTCTGCCTGCTCTTTTTGTTTGTAGTCACTTTCGTCACGCGATTTCTATGAGGTATGAGATTCCGTTTCTATCAGCAGAAGGATCTGACAAAATCTAAAGGGGAATGTTCGTTTACCAAAAAGGCTTTTTTTAAATCAAAATCTTAAACAAAAATTGTTTGTCGTTTCACATGTTGGTGATCAACTTCTGTGAAAAATTGCTTCATGTTAGGTAAACTGTTAGATAAACTCTTCTTATTAGATAAACTGTTAAATAAATTCTTCTTATTTTTCAGATTCTTTTAAGGATGTTTTTCAATGTGGTTGAAATGAAGATTTGTTTTTAATTCCACTGTTTAATCACACCTTCCGTGACAATCAAAACTGTTTTTGAAAACAAGAGCAGTTTTATCAAAGGCGCTCCAATTTTGAAGCAAGCATATGCGTCACTTTTTCGTAAAACCTTCTTCTTGCCTTGGAAGAAACTAACACTTTACATTTCTGGTGAGGTAACGTTCATTTTGAATTCTTTTTTGAATACATCATTTTTTAATTTTATTATATTTTCTTCTTGAATAAAAATGACTACAAATAGGAAATTTGATCCGTTTCTCATAACGCCAGGCAAATTTGACAGCAGGTGGGCAACAAATGGAAGTTATGAGAAAACAATAACTGAGACGATTTTAAGAAAATCCATTTGTACGAGTTTTTGTTATCCTGTATAGGATTCAACACATCATTCAAGTGCTAGTAATTCAAAAAAGACTGAAGAGAGTGGGATTCGAACCCACGCCCCCGAAGGGACTGGTGCCTTAAACCAGCGCCTTGGACCGCTCGGCCATCTCTCCACATTTCAAACTATGCTTTCGTGTTGTACAAGTATTACGAATCTTCCGCCCTCGAGTTCCCGCCGCTCTCTTCGGACTGCACACTATCTTCCTTCCCTTCTCTGCCCAGTCGTAGTGAGCGCGTGCGGAAACAACGACACTCCGCTGCTAGAGGGCGTCCGGTGTTTAGCGGGTCGTGTGTTGTGACCGAATTTTTCCAATAACATCTGCTTTCTTTATGCCAAACAAGTGAATTGTTGCCTTTTTTCCATGTGAACTCCTATATGGGAACTCAGTCGCCGAATATATAAGAAAGTGAGCTATGATTCATATGTTTAATTTCTTGTGAGACCGGATATTCTGAACTTTCTGATCGACACTCCGCTTTCATTTGTAAGGATTTTTTATCATAGAATCCAGACTCTTTTTGGTCACAAAAAGCTGCAAACGTTTTGAAGGACATATCATACACAAAAGACTATGGAAAAGTTTTTTCAGAGGACAATTGTTCATATTAAACGAGGAATTGACTTTGAATGCAATCATCTAGGAAGATATATTGCCGCTGTACACAACAAGAGTTGGATCATTTTTGTAAAAGTGAGATATTTTTGTGCGCTGGAAACAAAATTCATACTATCTTCAGGCAGCTGTAAAGGGTGTTGGACAAGACGGTGCTCTCATCTCCCCTTTTCATTCATTGTATGCTTCGTCTCTGAAATGGACTCTACTCCATATAAATCAGATCGTATTCACAAAGACGAATAAATGTTAATTAAGCATTCACGCCGTGCGAGTGCTTGTGAGTTTTGTCAATTATTTGAATGGCAAGAAAACATGTTTTGAAGGACTTAAATAAGCGAGATGGTACTTTGATCTCTGTTTGTTGTCTATGCAAAGGATCAAACATGGAAGTAGAAGAAATCTACGTGGAAGATATAATTGCCGATTATAGCCTGATCAAGACAAATATTCAGTGAGTATCGTCAAAGCTATTTCTCGATGTACACACATCCAGAAATATGTTCCATTTCCGTTTATATATGACAGAAATCGCAAGTCATTTTTTCGCTGAAAGTTAGTCTCGTTCAGGTTAATCCCAATCGTTGTAAGGTATCGTTTGACTGCTTGACAGTCGCGTAATACGAGACGAGCTGTCTGTCACAGACCCACCTGCGCGTGTAAAAAATATCGGCGATTGTCATCGTTCTTTGAATGCTAATGAGAGGATCAGTTGGACTGCTGCCGTTTGAGAAGTCTCAATTTAGTGTGCAGAAATGAGACATTAACACATTTACATGGAATGACTCCCAAGTGTTACCCTCGAAAAAAATCGAGACCTATATATATGGTTGGATAGAGCGTAAAAAGTTATTTTAGATTCCAAACGGAATAGTTGGTAAAAATTTCTTTTGGGAGTAATGGTCCAAAAAGTACCAAAAAATGCCTAAATTTGCAAAAAATCATAACTTTGTCAGTTTATGTCAGTTTGTTGAAATTCAAAAAACAGTAAATATACAATTGATTGAACATTTGAAAATAAAATTTATCAATTTTTTTTCCTATTGATTGGATTTTTGATTTTTTGAAAAAATCAAAAAAATTTTCAATATCTCAAAAATCCTAGGTTAACTTTTCTTTTCATTATGACCATTGAATTTAGCACATTTGATTTACTATAGAAACATATCAATACCTCGGGGGAAATCATGCTTACACAAGTTATGCCAAAAATATCAATTTTGGCACTTGGCTTCTTTGAATTCGTTGCCCTCGAATTCAAAGAATGGTGAGGGGCATACTTGTTTTTGTGATTTTTACTTGCGTATGGTTTGCCTAGAGTGTTTGAAATAGAATCTTGCGACATGCAAAATCAATTTTTCAAATGCCGTACTATTTCTTAAAATCATCATCTTGAAAAAAGCAAAATTTTGACATGTGACAGGACACATCTATAGTTAAACTTGATAGAAACTGCCAAACTTATTTTTAACATAATCAGAAGAACATAATCTTATCAACGGCTTGAACAAAATTTTGATTTAGGCCCTAGAATCAAAAAATATTTACGATTTTCCGAGCCTGACCCCTATTTTTGGTGAAGTGTGACATGTGACAGGGCACATCTATAGTTAATCTTGATGGAAATAGCCAGACTCTTGTTTAAACATGATTAAAACGACAAAATCTTATCAACGGCTTAAACAGAATTTTAAATTAGGTCCTAAAAATAAACATATTCACTGATGATGGGACACCTTTTGTTTTTGATCATAACTTGAGAACGAAAAAAAATATCAAAAAACTGTTATCGCCATTCGATTTAAAATAAAAAAAATACTATTAAACAAATGTTATTGGTTTGTTTCGTATCGTGAAAATAGGTGAAATGGAAAAAGGTCGATTTCGGCTGTCCGAAGCTGGAAGGATATCTTTCGGAAATCGTTCATTTAACCTACTTTCACAACAGGGACCAAGTTGATTCCACTTTTTCTATGTTATTGTTTCATTTTAAATCGAATGGAGTTACCAGTTTTTTGATATTTTTTTTCGTTCTCAAGTTATGATCAAAAACAAAAGGTGTCCCATCATCAGTGAATATTTTTATTTTTAGGGCCTAATTTAAAATTCTGTTCATGCCGTTGATAAGATTTTGTCATTTTAATTATGTTTAAACAAAAGTCTGGCTATTTCCATCAAGATTAACCATAGATGTGCCCTGTCACATGTCACACTTCACCAAAAATAGGGGTCAGGCTCGGAAAATCGTAAATAATTTTTGATTCTAGGGCCTAAATCAAAATTTTGTTCAAGCTGTTGATAAGATTATGTTCTTCTGATTATGTTAAAAAATAAGTTTGGCAGTTTCTATCAAGTTTAACTATAGATGTGTCCTGTCACATGTCAAAATTTTGCTTTTTTCAAGATGATGATTTTGAGAATTGGTACGGCATTTGAAAAATTGACGTTGTATGTCGCAGGGGGAGTACGATGAATTCGAACTTTCTCGAAATCGAACTGTCCCGAAATCGAACTCGTCCGAATTAGAACTGTCCCTTTTTCGAACACGCCCAGAACAGAACAAGAACGGAATCGAACTGCTATAAATTCGAACTGTGCGGTGTCGAACTGTCCCGGATTGGAACTCTGTTAGCAACAGGGCGCGCTTGCTTTTTTAAAATTGTTTTTGTCCAGGGCTGTCCAAAACGGCGGCCGGGCCTCGGCCGGCCTCAAAAAAGCCTCGGCCGAAGAAAAAAGGCCTCGGCGCGCTCCATTGAGAAAAAGCCTCGCGAGGCCTCGGCCGGCCGAGGCCGGCCTCGCAAATGTGACTACGGTCAGCAAGTCGCATATTTTACGACAAGTTGCGTATTTTTTTTTTAATTTTTTGTTTTTTCTCGCTCTTTTTCAGCAAATCACACATTTTTCGAGAGTTTTCTCGATTTTTCCATCGATCTGTGGCGACATGAACATTTCGAACGCCAGTGATGGTCGGTTTAAGCCGATTTATTCATTTGTTATAACCGTTATTCAATTTCAGACACAATTCAGATGCCTCAATGATTCATTGATCCGAACAAAACCGATTGTGAATTAGTGATAAAGAACAAAAGGGAAGGATTCGGCGGTTTTTATGCTAGTTGAAATTAGCTCCTATCCAATTTTGCACTAAATCGCCCGAAAAGTTCATGCGATTCAAGCTTCGGAAGCAGATGTAGAAAGATCTTTTTCAATCATAAAAAACTTGTACACACCAACTCGTCAGAGCCTGGACTTAAAAATGCTGGAAAAGTTGATGATTCTCAAAGAAAAAGATCGATTCGACACAGGCGAGACTTGAAGATTTTGATGCATGAACACAAGCTTTTTTTGTTAATTTTTTTGAATTTGTTGTCATTTTCTCTCCCCTGTTATCTCAGTGTTGAATTAAAGATTTCTTGACTTCCTCCTTTTTTTAAATGCTCTAAATATCGAAAAATCGAGAAAACTCTCAACAATGCGTGATTTGCTGAAAAAGAACGAGAAAAAACAAAAAATTTAAAAAAAAACGCAACTTGTCGTACAATATGCGACTTGTAGTCATATTTGCGAGGCCGGCCTCGGCCGGCCGAGGCCTCGCGAGGCTTTTTCTCAATGAAGCGAACTTGCGACGGCCTCGGCCGCACAAAATTTTGCAAGGCCTTCGGCCGGCCGAAGCCGGCCTTTTGGACAGCCCTGTTTTTGTCAACAAATTTTGCATGTTTTCTCCAGAAAATAACTTTTTTCACTTATTTTGGATATTTTGCGAATTTCTCTACCCGTTTCGAGAATATAAACTTTACAGAAAATGGCTGCTCGTAAAAACAAGCCGATCGTTAAAGTTCAAGGATATGCAATGCGTTTCAAAAAAATGAACAAAAATGGAACAGAGCTTTTTTACTGTGTCGAGCGGTAAAAAATTGCAGCATTACTATAAAACAATATTTTTTCCAGAGAAAGACGAGCTCGATGTGATGCATACAAAGATGGATTGGAATGAGTTGAAACTAAATCCGAATTTCCAGGTCTGTTTCTACTCTTGAACACCTAAATTGATTTTTTACTACATTCACGTGAATCGAAACAGAAAGCTCACCAACGCATTGAAGGACGGGAGACTCATCAAGACGCTAATAAATCAGCCAATCCCGCCAAATATGCCTTTGATTGGTCTCAATTTATTAGACGCCATCTCCGACGCCCATTCTGTTTAAAAGTCATGAATTCTTTCTTTTTTAACACATTTTCTATTTTCAAATTATTTTTTCCTCACTGTATTCAAATAAAAATGCTTTTTTTGTTGTAAAAATGATTTTTTCTGGAGAAAACTTGAAATTTTCAAAGGTAATGCAAGCGCGCTCTGTTGCTAACAGAGTTCCAATTCGGGACAGTTCGACACCGAATCAGTTCGAGTTGGAACAGTTCGATTCCGTTCTTGTTCTGTTCTGGGCGTGTTCGAAAAAGGGACAGTTCTAATTCGAACGAGTTCGATTTCGGGACAGTTCGATTTCGAGAAAGTTCGAATTCATCGTACTTCTATTTCAAATACTTTAGGCAAACCATACGCAAGTAAAAATCACATAAACAAGTATGCCCCTTACCATACCGGCCGCCGAGGACAACGAATTCAAAGAAGCCAAGTACCAAAAATCGATATTTTTTGGCATAAATTGTGTGAGCATGATTTCCCCCGGGGTATTGATATGTTACTATATTAAATCAAATGTGCTGAATTCAATGGTCATAATGAAAAAAAAAGTTAACCTAGGATTTTTGAGATATTGAAAATTTTTTTGATTTTTTCAAAAAATCAATAAACCAATCAATAGGAAAAAAATTTAAAAAATTTATTCTCAAATATTCAATCAATTGTCTATCTACTGTTTTTCAAATTTCAACAAACGGACATAAACTGACAAAGTTATGATTTTTTGAAAATTTAGGCATTTTTTGGTACTTTTTGGTCCATAACTCCCAAAATAAATTTTTTACCAACTATTCCGTTTGGAATCTAAAATAACTTTTTACGCTCTATCCAACCATTCAGGTCTCGATTTTTTCGAGGGTAACACTTGGGAGTCATTCCATGTTAGATGATTGGAACAAAATGGGGTTATTCAGGGAGTCGGCAAAAAGGGAAAAAAAAACTCCGCGAAAACTCGGAGAGTGTTCCAATCTGGCTGAAACTTCGGGGAAAACTGGAGAAAACTATAGGAAACATTTTGCCAAAGTTTGGGGTCGAAATATCGACTTTGAAAATTTGGCTGGAATTTCAGTCCCTTATCTTCTTTTCTTCTTTGTATGTCATTCCGCTTTATCCCAGAAGTAAAGTTCCCCAAAGTAAAGACCCTCCAGACCAAATTTGATACTATCGTAAAAATTTGTAAGATGTCAGGTCTAAACAATTGAA